CCAGCACGCGGTGCGCCAGGGGAGCGCAGGGTCTGCACCGTCCTCTGAAACCCCTGGGAAAGGGAGCCCTCTGCCACGGGGAGGAACGGTCAATGCGTCTGTGCCTGTTAGACACCGGAGCGTTGCGATACCCCTTGATTTAACGAGCAGATGGGAGATCTCCACTCCCTGTGAGAGGAGTGCAGCCATCAGCTGCACCGCAGGCAGGACCGGAGAGCAAGGCAATAACAAATACCACTATATTTAGCTATTTTTAAGTTTGACCACACGGCCACAGGTGCTGAAAAAGCTGTCCTGCTCCAAAACCACCATCAGGCAGAGGAGACCTGCTCGGATGCCCTGAATGCCACCGGAGCCATTCCTGGGGTTAGTGCAAGCAGGAAGGTGGAAAGGATTAGTGCTTTGCGGGTGCAGAGTCATAGGGAGGTGCTGAGGCACTCCTGCCAGCTGCAAAAGGGGCTGGCTCCTACTTTCAGCTGGATAACCAGGGTGTATTATGCCATTAAAACAACCTGCAGCGTATCCGTATCATTGCTCTTCAAGAAACAGAGCATCATTAGAGTTACTAGGAGCCACCACAGGGCTCCTGCTGCATCTTACAAGGAAGGAAGCAATCATTTCAGGTCCATTTTGAAGAAAAAAAAACAAGTATTTATTCATTTGGATCCTTTTGAATGCTGTAAGGCCACATGAGAATTACAGTCACCTGAAGGCCTTATTTCTTCATATAAATATTTGAGATATAAATATTCTCTCCGAATTTCCTTTCATGTTTAGCAGGGAACATCACGTGCGTGTAGCCAGCTCCCTTGCTCCCAGTTATTGGTTAAATATACATAAATACGAAAATGTGGGCAAACATTTACAGACAATAAATGCTGGGGGGTTTTAATTAACTAGCGTTTCATACGGTTACAAAACAAAACACAACATTTTAGCAATAACTGAACCCAGGAAAATCAAAACTCGTCTCCCTTACTCTTCTCACACCTAGCAACTTATTTTGGGGCCAATTAAAAAGTGGCAAATCCAGAACAGGGAGTACGAAGAACTTTTTCTCCCACAGCACATAATGAAACTGAGGCTTTTACTGCCACAATGAAACGCGGATGCCGAAAACGCAGCGACGTCAGCAGGGCGTGGGTGTTTCTACGGACAGTAAGAATGGCCAGAGCTATAATAGTTACGAATGACGCGAATTTTGGAAGAGAGGCAGACCTCCAGCTGTGGCTGCAAACCAATCTTTATTAGGGATTAGGAAAAGAGCTAAGGTGACAGCCAGGTTATCTGCTTACAAGGGAGCTGCACATACTTTCCACCTTCCACCCAGCGCTGGAGAGACCGGCTGCAATAACTGGACATCGGAGCCGATACAGTTTTATTTTCCTTCGTCAATTTTTGTGAGCGAATCCCAGCTCGGCTGCCCACACGAGTAACGCTCACCTGTGTGTGCAGTGCCTGAGCGTATGAAACATCAGCCTTAGCAGAAAAAAAACGACCGTCCTTTTCTTCCTAAACAAGGCACACTAAGATTAAACGGCATGCCGCAGCGCCGGAGCACACTGCCCAAGAAACATAGCTGGGGACAAGATTCAAAAGCAAAATATGCTAGAGGCCTAAAAGTGTCTGTCATAAAAAAAAAAATCTAATAGGTCTCTGAGCAAACGCAAAGGCCAACAGGCAAATAACATAAACACTGCTGCGAAAGGATCTACGCGCAGTTCTCTGCAAAGCATCAAAGCAATTCCTTGCTGCGCAGTCAATGCAAAAGAGATTGCAACTCAAAACAAAAGAAACAGAAGACAAAAAAACCAAACTGCTCCTAAAGAAACAAAGGAGCTAACCAACTTAAAACACAGGTTCTCCTTTATTTTATTCTAGAACACTAGAACTACAGGCCAATGGCTTAAATGAAGGCAAAAAAACCCAGAATCAACATAACAAATATTAGCGCTTATCAAAAACGCAGCGGACAACAGTTCCTTCCAGCAAACTTCTAAATAATTCACACCCGATATGAAGAAGCCGATCTTAGGAATACACTGTGCCAAAACAGACGAGGAAGCAGTTTCTCCCATGACCTGGACGAAAAACCCAACACCAAAATAGAGGCAACAGCAAAAAGCGTTGCGTTTAAAACCCAATTCCAGCGAAAGACACCATTTAAAACCGAAAAGCGTCTGGCGGAGCCCGGCTGGGAGCCCGGCGGGGGGCCCGTCCATTGGCGCAGCCAATTTGCAGGCAGCCCCCGGTGGGCAGGGGGAGCAGGGCAGGACCCGGGCCGATGGGGTGGGGTGACGTATGGGGACCACCCCCCCCCACCGCCACCTGCCCACGGGTGCATCTTGGCTCGCCAGCGCCATGGGTGATGGCCTCAAGTTGCGTCAGGGGAGATTTAGGTTGGATGTGAGGAAAAATGTCTTTACTGAAAGAGTGGTTAAACATTGGAACAGGCTGCCCAGGGAAGGGGTTGAGTCACCATCCCTGGAGGTATTTAAAAAACGGGTAGATGAGGCGCTTAGGGACATGGTTTAGTGGGCATGGTGGTGTTGGGTTGACTGTTGGACTCG